CCGTCGAGCGCGACTGCGGCCCCCTCCTGGCGGCGGACGACGACGAAAGCGACGCCACCGCGGCGGCCGCGCTCCGCGACGCCGCGCGCCTCGCGTCGCGCGCGCTCGGCGCCGCGGCGCTCGGCGCGAGCGAGGCCTACGACCTCGACTCGCGCACGCGGCGCGCGGCGCGGCGCCGGGCCGTCGACGCGCGGCGCCTGCTCGACGCGGAGGCGCTCTGGCGCTACGCGTCGCCGCGCCGCGCGCCGGAGCTCGAGCCCGCGGCGCAGCTGCCCGCGACGCCGGCCTTCGGGTTCCTCTTCGCGCCGCGGGCGCGGTCCGCGCTCGCCGCGGCCGTCGCGGGCGCCGTCGCCGCGCGCGCGGACCACGTGCAGGTCGCGCTCGTGCCGCACCCGGACGACGCGGACGCGGCGCCGCTCCTGCCGCTGGCCTGCCCGCCGGCGCTCGCGGCCAAGGTCCGCGGCGCGTTGGCGCCGCCCGAGGCCGACGTCGCGCTCTTCCTCTTCGCGTCGAAGACGGGCCGGCTCCTCTCCGCGGACGGCGTCGACGGCGTCACGACGCGCGGCGTCGCGTTCCTCGACGACTGGGCCGAGAAGAGCCACTTCATGATGGTCGTGTAAGCGCTAGGTCCACGGCGCGCGCGAGGGCCGCCGGGTCCAGCGCGATGTCCGGGCCGTCGTACGCGAAGCGGGACGCGGCGAAGGCGACGAAGCGGAGCTTCTTCGCGTAGGCGACGCCCGCGTAGTAGAGCCGCGCGCGCGCCTCGGGCATGATCTCGACGACGATGGTGCCGGCTTCGCAATGGACGAGGTTTGCCTACCAAATGCGTCGGTAACAATTTTTCATCGTTTTCCCGGTCAAAATCTCTCGAAAATCGTCTCGGCCGCAGGACGCTGAGGTTCGCGAGCGCGCCGCCGTGGGGGCCGACGACGACGCGCGCGGCGGCGAAGACGCGCGCGCTGCGCTCCGGCGACTCGTAGCGGAAGAGCTCGAAGGTCAGGCCCGCCCGCTCCGCGACGCGCGTGAGCGCCGCGACGACGGCGCTCTCGTTGGCGACCGTGCGCTTGCCTTTGAAGGCGTCGTGGTTCCGCGACGCGTAGACGAGCAGGTCGCGCGCCGGCGTCGGCGCGTCGAGCAGCGCCGCCGTGTAGGGCGGGAGGAGCGCGTCGAAGGCGCCGGCGAAGGGCACGTCGCCGCGAACAACAGCAGCAACGAGCCCGTGGGGGAAGTAAATTTCGTCGCACTTCGAACCGCGCAGGAGCCGGTCGCCGCCCCCGAGCGCGGCCTCGGCGAAGGCGCACGTCGTCTCGTGGCAGAGGAGCTTGCCCTCGGGATCCGCGAGGAACTCGGCCCAGACGCCCGCGGCCGCCGTGACGCCGTTGACCATGGCGTGCTGGAACACGGGGCTGAACAGGTCCAGGCCGAGGTAGCCGCGCGCGCGCGTGACCGTGGCGCTCGCGGGCTGCTTGTGGTCGCACTCGAGGAAGTGGCCCTTGGCGTGCGCGCGCGACGCCGGGCTCCGCCGGCCGCAGCCCCAGATGTTGTCGTTATATAGCCGCACGACGGCGCGGTCGCAGCGCGCCAGCGTGAGCCCGCGCGGTTTCCGCAGACGCCGCGTCTGTTTGTCGCCGTGCTCGCCCTCGATCTTCCACGTGTGATCGACGCTGACCGTGCGCTGCTCGACGGCCGACGCGACGAAGGTGAAGCCGTGGCCGCGCACGCGCGTGCCGTTTTCGTGTGCGACAATAGCCCGCAGCAGCAGCAGCAGGAGCAGCATGCCTATGCATCACGATGGGGCAACCCCATACGCTGCTTCAACGTCTTTGCTTTCCGTCTACTTTGCCGTCGCAAATTACGACGCACGGAGATCACGGAGGGCTGCCCATCGTCGCGGCCGACGATGTCGATGTCGTCG